ACTCAAATTTCTTTTCGAACAAATTCCTACAATAGAATTCATGAAAGCCACTCAACCTACTATTTATAACTCATCATAGACGTGTTGTCATTGTAATACCGCCAAAAAACATTTTAACCATATATGGATCTGTCTTAAAGTAAAAAAAGAGATGAAGCAAATCATTACTGACGCTCTTAACGTCCTAAAAAATAACTCTTTATACATATTTCACAAACAGTTTATCCTCCTGACATAAAATCATTATTACTACCATCACATCCTTTTTGGACCTTAAAAGAGGATCTTCACAATATCACGTTCATCGACTTCATCAAAGGCATCGTTCCTACCACTCTTCCGAATCTACTCGATTTCTTTACCAACTCTTTTTCTTGAATCCTTTCCCCATTTTATGATTACATTTTTGACCAATCCTATGAAATTATATGGAAATCTCGATATGCAGCTACTATAGAAAAAGAACGATCACTTAACATTTTAAAATATAAAAAAAAACGTAATTACAGTCCTTCTAACAACTTTTCTATTAACAGTTATCCAAATTCAATTTTATCTTTACCTGATTATAAATATGATCATACTTTCCTTATGACCAAATCTTTTGTTCATGGACGGAAATGGTCCTTCTTCCTTGCGCAATAATAACTATTTGTCAAATGTTTTACTCTTCTTTTGTTGGGTGGCGATGGTAATTCTACTAGTGATTGTTACTGGAGCCTGACAGGACAACTGGTTGGTCTGATTGGAGTTAGTCTACTAATAATGATTATTAGGAAGCATTTTTTATTTTTCTACATTTGTACCCTTTTCGGGATTTTCATGTTTTAATTAACTGATTATGAATTTTTATAATAAATAAATGCATTACTGCGTCTTTAAAAAAAAAGCTGATCCAAAATCAATGCATATTAGCTCATTGGATTCGTCTAGTCGCAAGGAATCGAATGGTAGTTGTTTCATACAAATCGGTGCAATATTGACCGAGATCGTACATCTTTTGTTTTTTTTGTTTTTTTTATATATAAAAATCATGTGATATAATGTCATTTTGACTATTTCGACTTTTTATTTCGACTTTTGGATTTTCATTTCGACTTCATGTATAAGTAACATAATTGGAGCCAATTTCCAATGTTGCTTTAACATTCCAAGTTGCCCTCAGGCTTCTCTATAATATATAAGACATAAAAATTATATAATTGTATTACTAGTTAATTATTTTTTACATTAGCTTATTTATTATATTTACCTAAAATCCTGATATGCTATGATACAATGTACCTCATCGATTACAAAATGAACCTTTTTTGTTCATAAAGTTGTGTGATAAATCTGCAAAATCTTTCATTAGATACTAGTTTTTCAGGCGTAACAAATAGCACTTTTATCAATCCATATGCTATTTCTTCAAAAATTTTTTCTTGGACACATGCTCCTTGTGATAAATTAGCATATAAAGCAGCACATGAAATGCCTATTTTGATAAACTCTCGCTAAATATAAAACAATATAAATTAGTATAAGGATAGTAATGATATATGTAAAAAATGTTATCTAACTTTTTGATCTTTCATAAGTGCCTTAAGAGGACTAAAAACGATAGTTAAGCCATCAAAACAAATAGCCGACACAACATAGCATAAAGTTTTTCCTTCACCAGTTTTCATGGATACAAATGTATCCTTACCACTTAAGTAATTAACTATTGCTTCCATTTGACCTTCTCAGAATTCATTAAATGCAAAAATCTTTTTCATTGCAAATAATACTAATGCTTCTATTTAGGTGTTTCTGGTCGTATTCCTTTAGGTACAAATTTGTTATCAATTAACCGTTTCCACAAATCTGCATTTACATAGAATGAACAAACACCACACAAGCCATGTGCACTTTTCTTTGCAAAAGCATGATATACTACACACTTTATTATCACATTAAAATCTATTAAGAGGTCACCAAATGATGGCCAAAATATATTTTTACGAATTTGTTCTAGCATTTTGCTTTTATAAGATACTAATTCCTATAATATAATAAAGTAAATATTATACATATATATTATATAAAATAAAAATATAAATATATAATAAAAATTACCTTATCAAAATCAAAGCTGGCAAGTTTCTTTTTATTATTTGAAAAATTTTCCTTTCTTATTTTATTTCGTTTTTGAATTGCATTACGATTTCTTGCATTCTGTTGAGATCTTTCTTAAACAAATTTTAATATATTACATATATCAGAATATGAAAAATTCTTTTCAGTAGCTGCCATACAAACTTGTGAAATCATGACATCTAATCCATCATTTTGATCAAGTACTGCTAATGTATGCCGGGTGCTATATGAAGCCCAATAATCAATTCATTTGTCTAGATATTTGAGAATTTTTCTATTAAATATTTCATGATGTGAGATGCGGAGTGTAGTTACAAGACCTTGACTGGATGGAATATAAAAAATTGAAGTGATAAAACTTCAAAAGTTTTCAATTTCATTTGAAGTATAATTTTTTAGGGTTGGATTTTGCAGCTGCAATTCTGAATTGTCCTTAATCCGACAAACTTCACTCTAACATATGCTATGATTATGAAGTAGATGTCAGATCAAACCCTCTACTTGTATATGTCACATTTTCTCTTCAGTTGGTGCATCATTCGGATTATTTTTTTTTGAAACCCAGCAAAAAATACACAGGAATTAAAATATCACATTATATGTTGTTCAAATGGATGCTAATGTGAATATCTTTTGTTTACTAATTTAAAAGATTTTTATATAATGTTAAAATCTAATACTACAAATATTACATATATAATTTCAAAAATAATATACTTAAAAAATTCTTTCGAATATTTTTGCTAATATGCTTCAATCAGCAAAAATGCGGCTTACTGCAGAAATGCATGCCAAAGTTCGATTGGTCTCTAAATTACTATCTACACACACATGCAAAGTAAAATTAGTTTCTTCTAAATAGGCATTATATCGTTAAGTAATGATATTAGAATTGCATGTTCCATTTGTCTTGAGAATCCATCAAAATTTCCTTTATGAATTATTTTTGAAGAATCATTCCCAGATTTTTATACAGATTGAGAATTTCTACTGTATAAAATCCAATTACAGGTTGATAATTATATCCTAAAAAATAAATTTTTTTTAATTAATATTTTTATTTAACATAAACCATTTTCTATTTGATATATACCAGGAAGGTCTTCCAAGTATAAAAATTCTCCACTGGCTTGGTGCGTATTATGAGAATGTGACCATGAACAATCAAATACTACAGGTAACACTTTCTCTTGACTCGGTAAATGACTTACTGTCAATTGATCTAAAATCTCAAGTAAAAGCATTTCACTACTAAATTTTACACTATCAATTATGGGCTTATACATACGAGCTTGATAATTATGATAAGACTGCTTACTACATTGGTTGGTTACTCCAATTGTTGCTAATGCTACCTGAAAAGAATTTCTATTTATCCCTTCAGAAAGCGTGACACCTGCAACTAAATGAAAGTATTTTACTCCTGAGACTTCATTTGAATATTGTGTGAAAGTTTTACAAAGAAGACATGTAATATTACAAGATATGCTAAATCCTAATACTGTGGTATGAAATGTTCGATTTGATGTAAGAAGGTCATGACAATTAGGACAAGGTAATGAAAGAAGAATGGAAAGATATTGGAAAGTACTCATAAAAATAGTTGACCCCAATTTTTTCCCTTCAATTTCCTTTTTTACCAGTTTTTGAATCTCTGAATTGTTAAGAAAAGTTATGTCAGTATAGTCAACTACCATCCAAGTTCTATTTTTTCATTTAATAGCATGTCTGTTATTTGGATCTTGAGCAATAAGTGTCGTATACCAGTTGGAAGGCATTATTTACTAATAAATTATAAGAGGCAATTTATTATTAAATATAAGTAAATGCGATATATTGTAAAAAAGCAAAGTTTGCTTACATGTTTATAATAAAATAAATTTTTTTAGGCACTTTATACATTTCTTCAGATTATTAATGACATAGCTTCTCTCATTCGAAAAAACTCCGTTCATTCGAACACTCCTATTTCATACTTTTATTATTTTAGACATAAAATAGCCAAACAATATAAACTTTTTTTGTAATATATAAAATAAAAGGTTCTTGAAAAAAGAGTAGAGTTTAAAAAAGTTTTTTTTGGCATTTTTTGTGAAGATTTAACCTTAAACAAATATTGCATTACTTTTTAGGGAGGCAATTTACTAATTAAAATGATTGACATCGACTCTACCCTTAATTTTTATTAAGATTAGGACAGTGACAGATATTATATAATATTATACAGGTCGAACGCTGATAAATCAGATACTTTTCTGATTGGTCACTATTTTTTAATTAACAATCAATAGATAGAAATCAGTAGATACTACAATCGGGTATGAATCAGTTAATACCATAATCATAATTATTGGGTAGAATTACATAAATTGGATTCCAACCTGATTTTATACTTATTTTAAAAAATTTATAATTATATGTTAAATAGTAACAAATCGGGTTCAATTAATAATTAGTTATCAATCAGTTTAATACCTGATTGATGATTATTATTCAATTAGAATTTACTGATTGGTAACAATTCGCTAACAAGTCTCATTAGCAAGATTTGTTAACAATCCATAATGAAATTTGTTATATGATTTCGTTTAAACTAATTGTACAAAATTCATTATAATGAATCTTTTAATGAAATTTGTTAATGATTCAATTTGCTTAACGAAATTTCATTATGATTCATTTAAACGAAATTCATATAATGAATCATTATAACGAATTTCATATGATTCGTTTAAATGAATTTTATTACGAATCGGTTAATGAAATTCGTTACAATTCATTTAAACAAAATTTGTATAATAAATCGTTATAACAAATTTCATTTAATTCATTTAAATGAATTTCATTATAACGAATTGTTATTAATAATTTTGATGATTCGTTTAATAAATTTCGTTAAAGAATCATTAAATGAAATTTCGTTATGAATTGGTTAACGTAATTCGTTACAATTCATTTAAACAAAATTCGTATAATGAATCATTTAACGAATTTCATACGATTTATTTAAACGAATTTCATTATAACGAATCATTATAACTAATTTCGTATGATTTGTTCAATGAAATTTGTTAACAATTCGTTTAAACAAAATTCGATAATGATTCGCTTAACAAATTTCGCTACGAATCGGTTAACAAAATGCGTTACAATTCATTTAAATGAAATTTGTATAATGAATCGGTTAACAAAATTCGTTACGATTTGTTTAAACAAAATTTGTATAATGAATCATTATAACAAATTTCATACGATTCATTTAAATGAAATTTGTTATGAATCTTATAACAAATTTCATACGATTCGTTTAAATGAAATTCATTATGAATCGGCTAATGAAATTCATTACGATTCATTTAAACGAATTTCGTTAAGATTTATTTAAATGAATTTTGTTACGAATCAGTTAATAAAATTTGTTACAATTCATTTAAACGAAATTCAATAATGAATCATTCAACGAATTTCGTTAAAATTCGTTTAAACAAATTTCCTTATAATGAATCATTATAACTAATTTTGTATGATTTGTTTAACGAATTTCGTTAAAGAATCGTTAAATGAAATTTCATTACGAATCAGTTAATGAATAATTCTAACGAATCATTAAAGAATTCTAACAATTCATTACGAAATTCGTTATAATGAATCATAACGAAACTTGTTAAGTGATTCTTTATGAATTTCATATAATGTTTTGTTACTTTTACGAGATTCGTCAATTCGAAGGTAAATTTCATCTATCAAAGACGAATTTTGCATTCAAACAAAAAACATCACCTAAAGAGTCCCGAAAAACCACTTACCTTATCCAAAAGAAAGAATGTTTGTTACTATAAAAAAAAAGTAGAAAAAATAAGTAAAAAACCATTATCCAAAAGAAAGAAAGGTCCTTTACTAAAAAAAAAAAAAAATCTACAAAGAAGAGAGGATATTCTGATTTATTAAAAAAAAAGGATAAATATAAATTTTTGCTTTTTTTTAATAGGAGTGGATTTTTTTGCTATTGATTAAGGTAAGTTTACAAATCGAAATGGTAGTTTTTTCAGATTTTTACTAATTATTTTCTTTTTTTAATAGAAGTAGACTTATTGCTATTGATTAAGGTAAGTCTACAAATCGGGATGGTGGTTTTTCAGATTTTTACTAATTTTTTTTCTTTTTTTAATAAAAGTAGACTTTTTTGCTATTGGTTAAGATAAGTATACAAATCAGAATAGTTGTTTTTTTAGATTTTTACTATTTTTTTTTCTTTTTTTTAATAGAAGTGGATTTTTTTGCTATTGGTAAAGATAAGTCTACAAATCAGAATAGTGATTTTGGGAATTTTTACTAAATTTTTTCTTTTTTTTAATAGAAGTAAACTTTTTGCTATTGGTTAAAGTAAGTCTACAAATTGGGATGACAGTTTTTTCAAATTTTTACTAATTTTTTTTCTTTTTTTTTATTAGAAGTGAATTTTTCTTGCTTATTGGCTAAGGTATGTTACAAATCAGGATTCTTTTTTTTGTGGTTTTTTTATATTTTTTATTAGGAGTGGATTTTTCTTGCTTATTGGCTAAAGTATATTACAAATTAGGACACTTTTGTTGTTTTT